TGTCAGTTGTTTTTTGACTTGATTTTTAAAAATTGTGTCACACAAATTTATTAGAAATTTTATCTTTACCTTAGTGACTTAAGATGCCACCTTTGTCATATACTGTTTCCATATGCATTAGGGCCTAATTTTATTTGTTTGTTTGTTTGTTTATTTATTTTATTTCTTTAAATCATCATCTGAGGATATGTTTTTATCGATCTTTTAGAGAGAGAAAGGGAAGGGGGAGAAACATTGATGTAAGAGAGAAATATCTATCAGTTGCTTTCCGTATGTGCCCTGACCGGGAATCAAACTGGCAGCTAAGTATGTGCCCTGGCGGGGAATCAAACCCAAAAACTTTTTGGTGTACAGGATGATACTCCAACCAATTGAGCCACCTGGCCAGGGCCTTGGGTCTAGTTTTAATTTTATGTTCTATTCACTGGTCCATTTGCCTATTTATTCACCAGTACTACATTGTGTTAATTATAGTGACATATGTTGTAATTATAGTGAATGATATGTATTAATAGCTAGTAAAGTTAGTTCCCACAGAGTTTTCCTTTTTCAGTGTTTTCTTGGTTATTCCTGTATGTTTGTTTTTCTATATGAACTTTAGTATCAATCTTTTTTTTTTAAATCTTCAGATAGAGTGTGAGGGAGGGAGAGAGAGAGAGAAAGAGAGAGAGAGAGAAACATCGATGTGAGAGACACATGATTGGCTGCCTCCCGCATGACCCTGACCACGGCCAGGTGCCCTTGACTGGAATCGAACCCGTGACTCTTTGGTCCACTGAGCCAAACTGGCCAGGGCTAGTATCAACTTTTTTGACTCTCTAAAATGACTTGTTGGTACTTTTATTGGGATTGCATTACATTTACAAATTAACTTTGAAAGAACTTACATCTTTATAATGTTCAGTCATTCTATCTAATGACAGAGGATGCCTTTTTATTTTTTCAAGTCTATTTTCATATCTTTCAGTAGTGTTTCATCATTTCTTCATTTTTTTTGTTAAATTTAATCCTAAATACTTAGCTTGTTTGTTGTTGTAGTAAATAAGGTTGTCTCTAACATTATGTCTTCTGTTTATTGTTTGTGTAAATAAAGACTATTGATTCTTCTATGTTAATGTTATATCCTGCTACTTCACTGAATTCTTTTATTGTTTAAATTCAGCTTATCATTGATTACCGGTTCCAGGTTCTAATCCTGGCTTTGGATTTATTAGACAACCTTGTTTCCTTTTAGTAATTCTGTCTTTGTTTTCTAACCTCGTCTGGCAGGCTTGCAACCTGTTAGATCTCCTATTTGAAGCCAGAAGAGCTATTTCTAAGAAAAGTAGCAATACTATCATTGCTCATCAAGATATATTTGGGCATTTGTGACAGTAGATATGGCAAATCGATGCTAAAAATTATTTCCTTATTCTCTTGAGTTGATGAAACTCTCATGGATAAGGTTCTTGGAAAATATTTTGGGGAAGGCTCTTTTGGATGAAAAATGTACCTGGTCTGTGTAAGTATTTTCCTGTTGTCAGAGCTTAAAATTCCATTGAAATAATATGAAAAACCATTTTATCCCTAGATTTCTGTCCTTGTAAAAGATTTTTTTTGAAACTCAAGTTTGAGTCTCTTGCCAAATAGAAAATTATTGTGGAGAATGTTTATGGTAAAATATATTTCTGTTAATCTCAAAACAAATGATCAGACATTTCTATCTGATTTCATCTACATCTATTTGCAAAGTTGTTTTATCTGCACTTTTAACAGTGGAGATAAATTAATGAAAAAGATTTATGTTATATTCAATCTCCTATGCTAACTGCTAACGAGGATAAAAGATTTTGTAGCAACCAAGCAGCTTCAAATGCTCTTATGTACTTCCAAAGTGAAAAAAAAAATGTTTGCTTTTTTTTCAGATTTTATCTTGAAACTTTAAAGTGCATTTTAAAAAGAGGGTGTGAGGTACATAGCTTTCTCAGAAGAGGCCTACATTTTTTAACAATAGGAACTTCTGTTGTAATAATATCGTAAGTGTTCTGAGATGGGTTTTAATATTCTTCAGGACTGTTGACCCGTCTCCTCTCGGGCAGAGAAAAGACACCAGGAAAACGACAATCCACACACTTCAGACAGCTTTCTGGTTGCATTAAAATGGAGCCAAACAAGTAGATCTTGAATGACCTCAGCTTTGCTCCTGGAATCACTCTCTGCCCACTTTACATGTTCTGGCACATCTTTTTTTTTTTTTTTTATCTTCGCCCGAGGACATTATTACATTTTTTGTTCAGATAGAGTGGGAGGGAGAGAGAGAAAGAGCGAGACATCAACGCGAAAGGGACACATCGAGTGGCTCCCTCCTGCACGACCCAACCAGGGCTGGGGACAAACGGCAACCGAGGTACGTGCCCTTAGCAGAAACCGAACCTGGGTCTCTCTGGACCTCAGGCCAATGCTCTAACCTCTGAGCCAAACCGGCCAGGGCCCTGGTACATCTTTTATTCTCTTGTGACAGAGAGCAAGTGGAGTTGCCAGGTTACTGTTGATGAAGAGTAATTTTTAGAAACAGAAAGTCAGTGTCCTGGTTCTGAATGATTCATCTTGCACTCTGGGGCATGTTATGAATGTTAAACAGTTAACTGTCAGTTGGTGCTTAATAATCTGTTAGATCTCGCTGAATCCATAATTTGAATGGCCACTATTTTTTTTTTTTTTACTTTAAGTGTAAAATAGATGGATTACATGTTCTTTCCAGCTGATACAGAAGTAAATGGCACTATCATTTGGTATTAAATGGTAAAAACAAAATGAATGTTTACTAAATTAAGTGAAATGAAAGGTGAACTTTCAGCTTTCCACATCAACTATTTTTATTAAAGTATCAAGTTAGATTTAAGCTCTAAAACCTGAAAGTTTTGGAATATGAGAAATGTGACTCAGAAGTGTGGGGGCCCCATTTTTTAGCCTCTTCTTTTTGCTCAGCAGATGAGGTATAATCCATGGGCAGTTTTCAGAGGCATCCTTCCAAAGGTTTTATTTATCAAGTGATGTGATTTTGGGTAAGCCTCAAGTTTTCTCATCTGTAAAATGAGAATAGTAATATCTGCTCACAGAATTGTTGATACTAGAATGTAAGTGAAGCATTCATCCATTTTTATTGTATATGTGTTTTCATAGATATTATTATTATTATTATTATTGTATACCTCCAGGAAATGTTAGCCATATATTAATTTATTTTTTGAAAAGATACTATCACTTGGTTGAAAGTTCAAAAGATACAAAGAATTATATGCTGTATCTTTTGAAATCTTTTCACTTGTTTCCCAGCACATAATTCTCCTCCTAAGAGTCAACAGATGTATCATTTTCTTGTGTATCTTTTAGAGATACTCTACATATCTAAAAGCAAAAATGTATATTCTTTCCCTGCCTTAAAAAAAAAAAGAATAAAATCTTACTAATTCACGTTTTCCTTTTTATCACTTAAAATTGTATCTTAGAAGTTATTCATATCAATTAAATATTTTAAATAATTTTGGGTAAATTTACTTAGGCACAGCTGTATATGTGTGTGTGTGTGTGTGTGTGTGTAAGAAAGAGAGCGAGCGCTCGCGCAAGTTGGTGTGTTCTAATTTAATTACCAATTCTAACCCTTAACTACTGGATATTCATTTATACATTCATTTTATTTATTCATTCAACAAATATTTTTTGATAGACTACGAGTCAGGCTAGCTCTGGCAACATTGCCAGAAACAAAACAGACACAGTCACTTCTTCCCCATTATAGTGAGTATGAGGCTGGACATTCCATTTTGCTCCATCTGCTGTGTGGGCTTCAGAGACCCACGCTGGCCTCGGTAGGTGACAGTCGGGCTCGGAGTCCATAGGACTGTCCAGCATCGCTCTGGTTCGGGGTGGAGTCCCGAGGCGGGGGCGGGCAGACGAGTCTGGAACAACGGAAACCCTGCGGGGAGCCCTGCGCTCCACGCGGGTCCAGACTCTGGGATGAAGGAGAGGCTGGGATACTGGGGGGAACCGTTGGCGGGGGCCGAGGTCCTCCGGGCGATTGTGGGGCATCTGTCCCCGGGTGCGAGAGCGGACACACGCCTGAGTTCGTGTCCCCTCCGCACCGAGAGCAGCACACGGGGACCTCAGAGACCACTTCCTTTACTACCCACTTTACAAAAATGGGAAACCAAGGCCCCGGATGGCGAAAGTCCGGACCGATGTCCACCTAGGCATGGTGGTATTCGGGGGCGAAGACAGTGAGTTCGACAGCTGGGCAGACGGAAATCGATGAAGAAACTGAGCACCTCTGGGCCTATACTGAAAACTTGTGCGGCTGGAAGGCTTCGGACTCGCAGAGCCGGTGGCTGCACCCGAACGCGCTGCCCTGCCCCCGGGCCCCAGACCTTTAAACTCCCGACGCGCGGGAACCGCAGCCCAACAGCCACAGGCGGCGGGGCGGGCGGGGGCGCACCCTCACCGGCCAACGACCGCCCCGGCTCCGCCCTCTCGCCGAACACTTGTTCTATAAGCAACCCTCTGGCCGCCCGCCCCTATTTGTCCGGGTCCCCGCGCGCCTCCGCCCCCACCACCCAGCCCTAGGGACGGCGGAGGCGGGGCTCCGCGCGGAGAGTCTGGGCGAGTGCCGGCGTCGCGCGCTCCCCCGGAGTTTCGAACGCAGTTGGCCCTCTGGGCAGAAAAAAATGCAAGAGCGGCGACCAATGGCTCGTCGGAAAGAACCCGCGCGCTGCCCCGGCCCCGCCCGCTCTGCCAGAAAAGAACTGCAGGCCCGGTCATTGGTTCACGTAATCTGTCACTCTTTGCTGCGGCCAGTGGGCAGGGGCCTCACAATGATTGGTTCCGCCCAGGCGCGAAATGTAACGCGGGAAAAGTCAGAGTGGGGACCTCAGCAACAGGTTATTTTCGGGGGTTCAGCGGCGTAAGTTCTGCTTTCCTGTCACCGCAAGCCAGGCCGCCCGCTGCTTCCCGCCTTTGCAGCCTGCGTACAAAGAGGGGAGGGCGGGCTGGACCCGGGGTTGGGGTCTGACCCTGACCACCCGGTGTCCGCCGAACTACCCCGCTCCTTCGCTGGGCGCCGCACAGGAGGATTCCGGGAAACGTCCGCCTGCCATGAGCCCGCGGGACTGAGAGCCAGCGACTCGGAGCAGCGCGGACGAGCGGAGCGCAGGGCCGGACCCGGGCTCAAGGAGTGCGGCCAGCGGCCGTGGGAGCTGCATATCGGGGAAGAGCTATGATCCGGGGCGTGGAAGTGCCGATGGCGGACAACCCGCCGCAGCCGCCGCCCGTCATTTTCTGCCAAGACTCCCCGAAGCGGGTGCTGGTGTCGGTGATCAGAACGACCCCGATCAAGGCCACGTGCAGCGGCGGAGGGGAGCCGGAGCCGCCCCCGCCGCTCATCCCCACCAGTCCTGGCTTCAGCGACTTTATGGTGTACCCGTGGCGCTGGGGCGAGAACGCGCACAATGTGACGCTCAGCCCGGGGGCCGCGGGGGGTGCCGCCTCGGCCACCTTGCCCGCCGCCACCGCTCAGCACCCGGGGCTTCGGGGCCGAGGCGCGCCCCCTCCCGCCGCCTCTGTGGGTGAGGACGAGGAAGAAGCGAGCAGCCCGGACAGCGGCCACCTCAAGGTGAGCAGGGCGGGGCGCGGGACAGCCGGGCGGTTAACGGCGCCGCCGGGAGCTGGCGGCGCCCGCGGACGCGGCGGGCGGGGCGGAGCCGAGTTTAAAACGCGAAATCCCTGGGGCCGCGGCGGGGGCGGGGCGGGTGACAGGACACTTACGTCACTGCCGCGCGCCAAAAAACTGGCACCCGCTGGGGGCGGGGCGGGGGCCCGCAGACGCCGGCGGGGGGCGGGGGCGGGCGGACCCCTGGCTGGCCGCCAGCAGGTGCAGTGGGCGGGAGCTCAGCCTAGGGTCGCGCAGGTGGCGGGTCTACCCTCCCTGCAAGCCGCTGGGCGGACCGCTGAGTCCTCTGTAGCCCGAGGCAGGGGCGGGGTGGCTTCTTCCTGGAGCTGTTCTCCTGGGTGCGGACAGGGGGGAGGCGCAGTTTGTGTTCAATCACTATAGATACCCGGCCCTGACCCCGCCAAAGATGCCTTGCAGAGATAGCCGGAGAGTGGAGAAGGGACGTCATGGAATCTTTGGCAGCTGAAGTTGTGTCCTCGCTGCCTTTCATTCATCCAGAGAGAACTACTTTGCTAGGTGCTGAAGAGCACAGAGTGGCATGGGACGCTGTGGTCGCTAACCTGGAATCGATTGTACTCTGAGACTGTTTAGAGCTGGGAAGGATGTAACTGCGTGGTTCAAACCTACAGTTTAGGGATTAGGCAATTGGGGCCTAGATAGAGATTGGTGAAGGGACCTCCCCAAGGTCACACATCTAGGTAGTGGGGGAGCTGGGATGTGGTTGAGTTTCCTAGTCCTGAAGCATGTATGTATGTGTTGGGCGTGCCTCTCCCCAGACATATACTTAGCTCTACAGACTAAACTCCAGTAGGGCCAGATTATTTTTGTTTGGTAGACTATTCGACTTTAATACCTTACGCACTGTAAATGCTGAACAAAGGTGCTCAGTAAATAATTATGTAATGAATGAAGGGTGCTAATGTAAGATTACTGTTCAAGTTCTGTTTGTTAACTGGTTACATAAGATAAGCGGTTTGCCAAAGATAAAACAAGTAAATCACCTAATGGGTAAATGCATCTATGTTGGCAAATACTGTATTTATAAATTGAAACAAGTTCGATAATTTTACATGCATTAGCAAAGATGTTGAAACATGTTGTTTGAGCCCGTAGGAAATTGATACACTTTGTTACTAATGTCATTGTTATTAAAGAGCTATACAGTTATAAAACTATGTGCTTTGACACACTTTAACTCCTGAAGCTGCACTTTAGTAAAAATTTGAACAAGCAGTAGAAATGTTCATAACAGTGCTGAGTGAGTTTGTGAAGAGACCAATCACTGTTGGTCCCTTAGTAAGATGGATAGGGATCCTAGATTTTTTTGTGTTTAGGCCTTTTTAAAAACATATGTTAGGTTATATAGTTGAGCAACATAAAGGCATACGTGCACCAATACTTGTGGGAGACTTTGGATTTATTATTTCGTTAATAATAATGGAATCTAATTTGGGATCATGCAAGAAGATGAATGTCATGGAAATCTGTATGTATGTTCCTTTTGGCCTAAAAAACTCCTTTTCATACAAATCTTTTTTTTTCAATCCTCACCCAAGGATATTTTTTTATTTATCTTCAGTTGGAGTGGGAGGGAGGAGGGAGAGAGAGACACATCGACCGGTTGCCTCCCACACCCACACCCACGACCCAGACCAGGGCTGGGGATGAACTGAAACAGAGGTACGTGCTCTTGACCAGAACTGAACCTGAGACTCATTGGTCTGAGGGCTGGTGCTCTAACCCCTGACCAAACTGGCCAAGGCCATACAAATCTTTTTATAAAAGTTGCTCACAGTGCATAGGTTTGAATTTTATTTCTACTTTGTCTACCTCTTTTCAGAGGTAAGATATATACTAGAAGTTATAAAGAACATGTGAAAGTGAAAAGGCTGTTTTATGTTTATGCTTACATTTATATTTTCTCAGTCTTTGTAACTGTTTGATAAATTATTAGGTTAATTGATTCTAAGTTGTCCTTTCATCAATGAAGCAATCCAAATTCAACTCCAAAAATTCACTCATTTAAGCTTCCTCATCTTGCAAGGTTGGGAGGGACCGGAGACAGGGAGGAGTGTAGAATATGCCTTTATTTAGGGAAACTACCTAGTATGATTTGTGATCAGTGCCCTCTAAAAATAGGGAGTCCCAGTCCCCTTTATTTTGCTTCTTGAGAGTGCTTGTAGTTATTTATTTCCACATGCATCTTGGGTGAATTGTGCTGATTGAATCTGCTCACTTCTTGGGAAAATGAGAGACAAGTTTGCAATAAAGCTGGTACCAGTAACATGCTCCCCTCAACTCCCTTCTAAGTATGCAGGTTAGCGGCAACAATAGCTGTGGGTTTGAGAACATGTGTGTTCATTTGCTGTCTGTTTGTTGCTACTGCTCCCAAGGGAGGTGTCTTGAGTTCTGCATACCTGGTATCTGTTTCTGCTTGCTCTGTTGTTTGTTCGTGTCCAACACTGCCTCCTCTGCCTGTGGGGAGAGCATCCATCATCTACCCACTTATTTGGGCCCCTTATCATAAGATTGCTTAGCACTTTTGCCAGTATAAGTATATGTTAGCATTATCTTCTCATGTAGAATTTTGGGAGGGAAGGGAGCAGGTCCAATTTCCCTCTGCTAGAAGGTATTCTAAGCCTCCCCACCTTATGCCCTTGTACCCTCTACTCAGCTGCATTCAGGAGGTTACTTCTCCACTGTGGACCTGTGTGGTTCGTCTTCTCTGTGCTTAGTCTCAGATACCATTCACCCTTCAAGACCTGCCAGCTGCCTATCCTGCTTCCCCTTTCTATCATCACCTGAACTCTTCAATCATCTAGACTGCACAGCCTTAAAAATAGCTCATTAGTATAGAGTAATTACTACCATATTAGGCATAGTCACCATTTATTGCCTGGCCCAGCACACTGCTGGGCTCTATGTTGAGTGTTTTGAATTCCTTTCCTAATTTATCTCATTTACCTGATGGAGGAATTAGAGAAGAGAGTCCCCAAGGTTAAGGTTAGTTAACGTCTTATGATAAGTGGCAGAATTGACTGGAACCTTCCAGAGCCCTTGCTCTTAATCCCTATGTAATACTGCTCCTGTGTGTATCATGTATGAATTGACTTTTGGAGCTTATTACATTTTTTTTTAATCCTCACTGGAGGATATTTTTCCATTTATCTTCAGATGGAGTGGGAGGGAGGGAGGAAGGGAGAGAGAGAAACATCACTGTGAGAGAGACGCATTGATTGATTGCCTCCTGCACAACCCCAACTGGGGCCAGGGACGAACCGCAACTGAGGTATGTGTCCTTGGCCAGAATCAAACCCATAACTCTTTGGTTCGTGGGCTGACACTGTAACCGCTGAGCCAAACCGGCCAGGGCTATTGCATTTTTAATATTAAGCTAATGAAAGTAGACTTATCACATGCTATTGAAACCTATCTAAATCTCAATGGAGATGCTATATGGGGGTACAGACAATAAAATAGATAAGTTCAAATGAAGACTTGGAAAGTTTTACAGATAGGTCGGCGGGGGGGAGATAGAACCAGGATGCAGATATGGGATCCATATGAAATTGGGATCTAAATCTGACTTTAAAAAAGGGAAATATGATAAATAACATTTTCTGGTCAATGTACATATGCCTCCCTCTGAGACCTATTTTTCTTTTCCTTCTAGGTTGTGTTTGAGTGCTTTATTTGAGTTTTACTTTGTACAAAAATGTGTCGAAGACTTAATTTTTTTAGTAATCACATGAATACCAAATTTGAATATAACTTTTTCTAAAGCCTAGGTAAATTTGTACATTATGCTAAGTGGATTGAGAAATAACCCAAATTTATTAAATAAATTTAAAGTTATTGACATTGAGAACTCAAAACATTTATCATGAAATAGTTTAGAAACACTTTTTAAAATCACTAATATGCCCTGGCTGGTTTGGCTCAGCGGTTGGAGCATTGGCCTGCAGTCCAGAGAGTCCCGGGTTCAGTTCCCTCTAAGGGCATGTACCTTGGTTGCAGTTTGTCCCCGGCCCTGGTTGGGTCACGCGGGAGGCAGCCACTCGATGTGTCCCTTTCATGTCAATGTTTCTCTCTCTCTCTCCTTCCCACTCTATCTGAACAAAAAATGGAAAAACACCCTCGAGTGAGGATAAAAAAAAAACCCACAAAAATTAAAAAAATTGCTAATCTATCTTCTGGAGATATCGAGATTCTATTTTGAAATTTAAATTTATTGAAGTATACAAACATTTTTGGCAATTTAATAATTTTGCTTCTTTCTAGTAGCTTAATTTGCAGCAGTTTCTACATAATATCAATGGGTTGTCTTAGAATTTGTTAACTTTTTCTTGCAAATTAAGCTGTCTCAACAAGATTTCTCTCTCAGGCTACAGGTATACTTGATTGCTGATAAAATCCTACTATTGTCAAAATGTACCTAGAAACATTATCATATTGCTAAGGCCAAAATGAAAACGGTCCTTTTAAAGTAGCTCTGCTTGTTTTTTTGTATATGGTTAAAAGATGCTCTTTATTCATTGATTTAGGACGTTACATGATTACTTACTTGCCTTGCCTAATTTTCTTAGTTCAAAGAATGCACTTAGTGAAGCCTTACTTGTATATGGCTAGGATGTTGTATTGTATTTATTACCTAGACATTTCTCATCTGGAAAATATAAATGTGGTTTAGAGCTGAAACAATATCTTAGAGTTGCTGGAAAGCAGTCAAATGGTTAACTTTTTTTTTTTTCTTTATTGATTTTAGAGAGAGGGGAATGGAGAGGAGAGATAGAAACATTGATGAGAGGGAACATCGATTGGTTGCCTCCTGCATGCCCTCCACTGGGGATTTGGCCTACAACCTGGACATGTGCCCTGAACAGGAATAGAACCGGCAACCTCTTGGCGCATGGGTCAAGCTGAACCACTGAGCCACACCGGCC